AAAGTTTTTCGTATTTGTTTTGAAACACTCTGTATATTTGGGACAACTAATACACAGCTCGGGATTTCTACTACCAGAAATCAACCGAAGAATTAAATTAGCATGCAATCATATTCAAATTTAGAATGCCGCTTTATATAGAGAAGAAAACATTCGACCAATAAAAACATTGGACCGTTTAAAATTCGTTTATTAAAGGGGAATCCCCCGTTTAAGAGTCGCGGTGAGATTGGTTAATGTGATGTTTATGCTTTATGCGTAAAATCGAGGGTCAGGCATCTAATTTTCAAAAAAATCAAAAACTTTGGGCTACAAAAACTACAGTAGCCAAAATCATCAGATTTACATAATTTTGTTAATTATTATTATTATTATTTAACATTAAAATGAGTGCTTGCGATGGTTCGTTGAGCAGCAAATCTGAGCCGTTCGTAATTGAATCTGGTTCAGAATACCTACCACCTCAGACACCTGGACGGAGAAGTTTAATTAGTGACTTTGACAGTAGTGACGGTGATAATACTACTACAGATAAAAACAGTCAAAACAACAATGATAAAAGCTACTCTACTTCAGTGGCGTACATTAAAATGTATAATTTTTTTTATTTTAAAAGTTTTACGTTAATTCAAAAAGTCTGTATGCCACTGAAGTAGACCCGCTTTGCAAAGTTTTTTTCTATTCTAATATCGTAGGCCATAACATATCCAAAAAATTATAAAAAAACATTTCAAAATTAAAAAATTATTAGGCATTAAAAAGGTTTTAATTTAATTTGGCCCACAGTATGCCAACTTTGGACATCCGACTTTAGACGTACTTATGTTAACTTTGGACATTGGACATCCGAAAAAGTGCCGCTTCGTACAAATATGTTTTGGTTAATAATTTTTGTATCCATCAATTAATATTGATATATTATAACAAATTACAATATTTACAAATACCTAAGTAAATGCGTATTTCTTTTTTATTTTATATTTTCAAGAAATTTCAAGATTTTCTTATTTCTTGTCAAGAAATCTTCATCTTGAGAAGTAATTTCTTGTCTTGTCTTGAAAACCAAAAATCATTTCTTGTCTTGAAATCAAGACAAGATCAAGAAGTTGTCAAGAAAATGACGACCCCTATCCAAACCCGACATGAGACCATGATATTAGGAAAATAGCAGGGATAACTTGGGCCCGCATTGTCAAAAATAGACAACAATGGGTCCAACTACAGAGTATCCAAATATGTGAGGGAGACTACACCATAATTGAAAATGGTTGAATAAGCTGAAAATTATAATGATAATGATGACAGCTATTTTTTTTAATAATAGAATTAGGAAAAAGAGAGCTTCAAAAATTATGTTTTTTTTTCGAGATAAAAATTTGTTTCTTTTTAATTATAAAGAAAACGGTTTTAAAAGTTGCTTTTTCTTCCTCGACAAGCGTAACAAGCGGTAACAATTACTAAAACGAACCTCTCGGTTCTGCTAAATGGAAGCGTTCACTTCTAAAATTACTTTTTCCTTAATGCAACTTCTCATTCTCGAATTACAAACTGTCTGTAAACGATTAAATCGTCTAAACGTATCCTACAACTTAGAAGAAACTACAGAATTGAGAGTAGAGTGCCATTGTCATAGTATTAGTTCCTTATTTTTCCTTTATTCTCATAAAATGTTTTCAATTAGACACAATATTTCGTATTCGAAAAATAAAATAAGCTTTGTTTGCTGAAGTTTCACTTTGTTGTAAGATAAAGCTTGTCAGTCTGAATGCATAAAATATTTTCATTCCTTCCCGCAAGTTTCCTGTAACATGCTGTGCTTTGCAAAACTAGAGTTTCCATAGTAATAGTAGAATTCGCTGCCTAATATAGTATAAAGTTATCTGCTGAGACCGCAGAAGAATGTTTTCGGTATACACAATGAATAATAACCGCTAGGTGTGTGATATAGAGACAACACATTTTAAAGACCCTAGAAAAATAGTAAAAATAGATATAAAATCATCAAAATTTCAGCATTTGTAGGAAATTTTATTTAGATTCAGAATATATACACCTTTGAGGGCTTTCTGAAAAAAAATATTTTTTGGACTCTTGTTTTCTAGCGATTTTTGATGAAGGTTAAAACGTTTTCTATATCTATTACTGTTCTTGTATGACCACAATGGCTTATATTTTCTTATTCTACAACTTTTAATTAGTAAGTTACTGTTATTATCAAAGGCCTAGAAAAATAGTAACCATATCCATAAAATTATGAAAATTTCAGGATTTATTGGAAATTTTATGTAGATTCAGAATACATACACTTTTAAAAGCTTAGGTATATTGGCTTTGTGAGAAAATTAATTTTTTGCGCCCTTATTTTTCATCTATTTTTGATGAAAGTAAAACGTTCCCCTACGTCCATTACTGTTCTCGTAAGACTACAATGGCTTATATTTTCTTATTCTACACCATTTAATTAGTAAATAAAAGCAGTTTTAATAAAATCGGTGACATGACAAAACTAGCCAATTTTCATGACTATGTATGTGTATGGAAAAAAATCGAAAAAATGTTCATTTTTTAACAGATTTTCAAAGGCCTCAGAAACATAGTAAACAGAGTCATAAAATTATGAAACTTTCACCGTTTGTAGGAAATTTGACGTAAATTCAGAATGTATTCACACCTTTGAAGGCTTAGGCAGCTTGCTTTTGTCAGATAATTAATTTTTTGGACCCCTTTTCAGCTATTTTTGATAAAGTATAAAACATCCGCTATATCTACTACTGTTCTTGTGTGACTACAGTGACCCGTATTTTCTTATTCTATGCCTTTTAATTAGTAAATAACAGCAGTTTTGCTATTCTAAAATCGTCAATTTTCCCCAAAAAACGTTAAAGATTCTATCTTTTAAAGAAGGAAAAATATAGTTAACTACTAAATTAGAACCTTAAAAATAAACTGGCAAATCTAAACTGAAACTTTAAAGATTAAGGATGTCCGGATATATATAAGCACGAAAATAAATGTAAGTTTGAACGGCAGTTTAGCTCAAAGGTCCTTTTGACGTAGAAGAAGTCAACACCGCGAAGGAGGGGGGCAAGGAGACGAAAACCAGACTGTTAGCATTAAATCCTTAAAGAGAAAATCATTGGGGCAAAGCTTTAGTTAGAGCGTAACTTGGTCCTTCGAGTCGAAAGGATGCGCCAGTGAAAATCCTCAATACAAGCGTGATGAATCGACTCGCAGGAAGAAATTTCAACCAGACAGCCGTATATCGGTAGCTTAAACGACGCGATAGGAACGCGGGCACATTCAAATAGACAAGATTGATGTAAACTCGCGCGAAAAACCTACCCTTAGCTGCTATATTACGACTTTTTTTACACCAGCAAGGGGATAGATTAATCGCAGCTCGAAATGATGCTCGAAAACAAATTTAACGCCTGCCTCTTATCTTAAAAGCTTTCTTTTCAGTACATCTTCACTGAAAGATGGTCGTGACAGCTCCATTCGAAAAATTAATTAACATTTTGGAAGATCATCACCTGCAGCCGGTACAACAAAACAAAATAAAATATATACAGGGTGGTCCAAATTGTATTCCGGAAACTTCGGCAGCATATTCTGCAGATAAAAATAAGTAAAAAAGGTCGTATACATGCAAAAGTTTCATTTTTATTTCGATTTTTTCCAAATAATTTCTGAACTAACATCAGTTATGGATGAAAATTGGTATCTGTGAGATTTTTGACATGAGAAATTTGATTTTGGTGTCAATCTGACTGCTATTTGTAGGGGGCGCCACCTCCGTGTGTTTTAATTGTTTTGAAGGGTAATAACTTTTCGTCCGTACCTGTATAAATCTACCGAGTGAAAAAATATACATTTCCGTGATTTTTTACATAAAAAATGTCTCTTGGTAAAAATCGCTACGAGCAGCCGTTCTCAAGATATTTAGAACGGAAATAGTCAATACAAGTCATTATTGACAAAAAAATAAATATGTTGAGTAGATAGTTATTTGATAAAATGATAAACTTTTTACTTCTTTAAAATGATTTTTTTTTCGAAAAAAAAAAATTATGATAAAATAGTTTTTTGCACTTCTGACACAAAAACATTTCAAATTATATAGTCAACATGATTAATCCATGTCAATGATGACAGGTATTGATAATTTTGATTACAAATATCTCGAGAACCATTAGTCGTAGCGATTTTTGACCAGGAGACCTTTTTTTAAGTAAAAAACGTCGTAAATGCAGATTTTTTTACTCGGCAGTTTTATACAGGTACGGACGAAAAGTTATTACTCTTCAAACCAGTAAAAAAATATGGAGGTGGCGCCCCCTACAAGTAGGAGTCAGATTGACATCAAAATCAAATTTCTCATGTCAAAAATATCCCAGATACCAATTTTCATCCAAATATTGATATTAGTTGAGAAATTACATGGAAAAAATCGAAATAAAAATGAAACTTTTGCACCCTGTATCTCCGAAACTAAGCGTTTTAGGACATGCATTTATACGACCTTTTTTACTTATTTTTATCTGCAGAATATGCTGCCAAAGTTTCCGGAATACAGTTTGGTCCACCCTATATACAGGGTGTCCCTGTTTGTATAAATGAATAATTTTTGGCACATCAATGCTTCTCTATCCGACTTTATTCCTACAAGAAGAATGTAATGGTTAAGCGATGTTTGTAGTTTGTCTCCATAACTCCCTGTCTTGTGCTTCATGTGCTCACATCGATGAATGCACCATTTTTTTAAACTCACTTTACACAAACAGATTCCCCTATTTTCAAAGTCCTTAGAAAAATAGGAAAATAAAACATCAAGTTTTTAAAATCTCAGCATTTAGAAAAAAAATTATATAGATTTAGACTATATAAACAACTAAACCTTAATTGCCTATATTTGATAAAAAATTGCCTTTTTTTGAACCTTTGTTGATTTCTTTTTGAAGGAGAAGAGACAAATATATATTTCTCTTTCTTTTTGCAAGGTCTTAATTGGTCATACTGATACAGTAACCTGTGTGGCGGTGGCTGTGTCAGACAAAACTCACTTGGTATCAGGAAGTTGCGACAATAACCTTATTGTATGGGATATCAACACTGGCGCTGATCTACACACCCTTTCAGCTCATCTGAGCTTCGTCAGCTGCTGTAAAATGAGTGGAGATGGAAGCATAGTCATATCTGGTGAGTTTCGTAACTCTGGTAACCCAAAAATGTTTTTTTTTTAAATCATGATTTTTGCTAACCCTGCTGTATAGTAATAAAGGGTGAAAGTTTGTGAACTGTAGATAACTATTTTAATCAACTTTACAGGTTCGGACGACAAAAGTATAATTATCTGGGATACAAAGCAGGGCTTACAGTTAACATCCCTTCAGCTGCATTACCCGATCGTCGGTGTAGAGCCAACATCCGACTTTTCCAGAATAGCAGTTTTGCTGAAAGATACTCAATACAGCCCTATTATTTGCCTCCACAATACTCCCGCCAAATATGTCAAATTACCAACGTATTGTGCCCCTGATAAGGATATTATAGAGAGTAAGAGCAATTTGAAACAATAGCGGAACGTAATAACACCTATTGAAATGTCGGAATGAATACACAGTTCTGTTAATCACAAAACCTCATGACTGGTTTAGTTAATTCCTTTCATTTCGATAGATAAACTCATTCAATTAATTAAAAAACATATTTTGTAATAAAATATAGATCCGAAACCCGCACCTAAACGTCAGATGAAGAGGTTGCTCAAGAAAGAAGTCTCGCTGGACACATATACATGGCAGAAGAAATACGCCCATCTCACTTCCAACCTGGTCATACCATCCATCGACGAAAGGTTCAAAAGGCGATTTTCTGTATCAGCTAGCATGGAAGAAATATCTAAAATACCCCAGAACGACCAAAAGGTAATCACTTTAAGCAATTGACTCAAATTTCGTGTCTTTATTTCGGCTGGTATTGTACAAATCGACTCCATTTATTAATATCAAACGGTAGAAAATTATGTTGCGTACTACGATAATCATAAACATGACTATACAGCCTGGATTTCCAATACCTTAACGCACAGAATGCATAATTCGCTCTAATACGATCAAACGATATTTGTAATTCGAACCCACAGCATCTGAAGCTCAATAAATAATTTTCTATAGCTCAAAATGCAAATTTAACAAATTTTCTTATGATCTTTCAAATTTCAATCTATGGCTGCATATTAAAGTATTTCAAATATAATATGAAAATACGTATTTTGCTTTTCAAATACTTGTATCTGAAATAAGTCACATCTCTGAAGTACAGTTACTGAGCTATTGTTGTATTTATTGATTATTTTAATAAACGATTGAAGAACTAATTTGTGGGAATTGTCATTAAAAAAACATGATTTATGCGTCTAAGTTCTGGGTATTCTGTTTATTAAAAAATAAAATTCGAAAACTATAAAACTTTTCCAATTTCCTATTCGCTGTCATTTTTCAAGTCCGCGTCACATGTCGCAAAATTGATTTCGCGGCACCTCAACAAGAGAAAATATAAAAGCCGTCTCTTTATTGCCCATTCCACTGCAGTTTTGGAAACTCTCGACAAAGCCCTAAAAACATTCAGTCCCACTCCACGACTTGTTCGTTTTATCTGATAAATATCACGTGAAACTCATATCATAACTCTCAAGAAATCCCGTCCAATCTCGAATTATTAATTAATTAAAGTAATTTTAAAGGTTATTTACTATTATCTGCTTCGCTGAGTTTTTTAATAACCCCCTGAGCGAGCTTTTTTAATAAGGGATTCCGTTTTATTAGGGCATGGGGTCAAAACAGGCATCCCTGGCTCAATCTCAGCATTTCGATCAGCTCGAAGCCCTTTGGAATAAAAGATCGCCACCCAATCGAAGAAAATTACATCAGGTAAGTTTTGAATTACACAGAGCGGGCACGAAATATTTTAGAAAAGCCAGATAAGAGTTTTTTAATTATTTGTTTTTTTATTTCTGAAAGACACTAAATAGTGAAAATTAATGTTTAATTATTAAGGTGTGATTATACTAGATACTATACAGGGTGTCCCAGAAATAAGTGCAAGTATTTCAACTGGTAGTACAGTTCGACCCCAGAGACACACCCATGAGGTTTTTTGCGAAAAAAAAAATTTGAAATTTTTCTTGACATTTTCCATAAAATATTGAAAAACTTTTGAGTGCCGCTTGTTTAGTTTCCGGAAATTTGTTTATAGTGCTTCGAGAGAATGCAATGTTGCCACCTCCTACGTTATCCAATCCACATTTTCTATGTTTATAAGTTCACATTTTTAAATTTCTACAAAAAAAATATTTAAATTAATTTTATTCACTGTAGAATTTTTAATCATTGTAGATTACTATCAACATAGTGCAACGTCTACTATATTTTAAATACCTTTCTTACAGTTTAGTAAACTAAAATAATGAAACTAAATAATAAACAATTATAGCAGTTTTTCAGCAGATCAGAATCACCTATTATTAGATATGTAAACTTTTTTGCACTTTTAGGTTATCCAATTCATTTGAGATTTTACTCAAAACAGTAAACCTCTAGCAAAACTAAAAAAGTAGGCAAATCTAAGATAAGCCTCTAAAAATAATTTTATTATACAATTTTTTTAAATATTTCTATATTTTAATTAGTTCTATAAATTCTTTAATATATTATTATCTATCGTATTCTAATGTTAGATAAGTTTTTCAATTTAAATCTGAATTTTCCAAGTCGTTTTTAAATCATTTTAGTCGATGTGTCAACTCTAGGTGTCGAACAAGCTGAGATTCTGGTAATTGCTTGGTATTTGCGGCTGATTATCGATTGTTGCCGGCGGCTCTCAAAATGTTGCCATTATTTTTTAAAATTTGCAAAGTTAAACAACTCGGTCATTTTCAATATATTTTAAAAATGGTAAAGAAAAAATATGTTTCTGATATACCCTGTAAAAGCAAAAATGCATTATGTTTATTTTCAAGTCTAATGGTCTATAAATTCTCATCCTGCTTGGAGTTACGACGATTTTATATTCTTTTCGAGACAGTTTAGGCTTAAACATACCGCATTTCTGGGTCACGTACGGCGAAAACCAGAGGAAATTTATTCCCAAACCTTTTTCTTTCCTTGTTTTCTACCAATTAAGATATATAAGCCTGTCGGGACTAACAGTTTGGCCGCAATCTCACATATTATACCTCTCCAGAAAAAGCCATAACTCAATTCTCGCTGTTTACGTAATATCCCCTACAATGCCTCCGCTTAGTTTTATTGCTTTATTTACAACTCCTCCTAATAAACAGAAATTTCAGAAATATACACATTGATTCAAGAGTTTTGCATCACCCTGTATCTTAATAAACTTCCTTTCAATTTGATCATTTTTATTGAAAAATATTTCATGTGTTTGTTTTTTTTTTCGAAATATACACATTGATTCAAGAGTTTTGCATCACCCTGTATCTTAATAAACTTCCTTTCAATTTGATCATTTTTATTGAAAAATATTTCATGTGTTTGTTTTTTTTTCGAAATATACACATTGATTCAAGAGTTTTGCATCACCCTGTATCTTAATAAACTTCCTTTCAATTTGATCATTTTTATTGAAAAATATTTCATGTGTTTGTTTTTTTTTTCGTTGTATAATAATATTAATTTCATAACGGTGTATTCTTATAAAAATTAAAGCAAAATAACTTTACTTTGAATGTGGTAGACAATGATTCAGTATTGAAACTAAAGGAAATAACACTTACGAGCGAAACGTTGTGTAAGCGAACTATACAGGGTGTCACAGAAATATCTGCAAGTATTTTAAGGGACATATTTTCTCTTTATTGTTTTTCAAATAAGTCCATAATAACGGAGTTATTTAAAAAAAATGATTTTTTGCTAAAATTTTGAGAACCACCGGATCTTTTCTGGATTTTCTTTCTTGTAAATTTAATCTAATACCTAAGTTGCCGTATCATCAAGAAATTATGTTTTTTAACTAAAAAGTAAAAATATTTTCAAAAAATCGTCTTTCTGAGGTTGAACTATACTACCAGTTAAAAACTTCGTCTAAAACAGCTTAGAAATCACAAGAAAAAAACATATCTTGTATCCAAAAAAATATTCCTATTCTACCGAACAATTATTGTTTCATTATAATGAATACACAGAGGCACATACACGTCTAATAAATGCGCTACTAACCAGGGTTGGGTAGGTAGAAAATTTTATATATTCTACGGTATTTTCTACAAGTGGAAATTTTTTTCGCTAAAAAAAGATGTTGAAAATCGTGCATTTTCGTTTAAATTTCCCTGTATATTTTTCGAAAACTTTTTAGAACTGCCTATTCACCGCAAATTTTCCCACGGTATAATTTCTTAATCTCTGATGTTACCATAGTTACGGCTTTACTCTATGGTTACGGCAATAAAAGGGATGCAAAGATAAAGAAAAAATCCGGTGGCTCTCAAAATTTTTTTCAAAAAAAAATCATTTTTTTAAATTTTCAAACTTAAATAACTAGGTTATTTTGCACTTATCTAAAAAATGGTAAAGAGAAAATACGTTTCTTTTATCGAGATCTACCAGCCCTGAAAATATTTGCACTTGTTTATGACTCACCCTGTATAGTTCATGAAACTACAGGCTTTCTATAATAAAAAAAGAACAACAAAAACTTTCTAAGAAAAAAATTAGACTATTCTGTACAGTCTTCAGATTAAATAGAAAAAATAATAGTCTTCAGATCGATCAGTTTCTTATCTTCAGGGAGTTAGTACCGTCACGGAATAGAGATAGCGCATGTACACATATTACAGTTTTAACACTTTAGAGTTTAAAGAAAATAGAAAGGAAGAAACTCCTAAAGTGAAAAAAACAGTTTTAAATATACAAAGTTAATTTTGTACCTGTTCTCAGATTTTATAGATTTTCTACTTAATATTCTACATTTTCTACGCACTTTTCTACATACACGTAGAAAATCAATTTTCTACGCGTCGGTACCCAACCCTGCTACTAGCATGAAAAGATGCAAGCTTTCCAATTTTCGTAATCTGAAAAAAGCTCATCAGGCGAAAAGTTGGCAATTTTAGAAGCATTCACGAGGCCTATCATTTGCGTTCGTATTTTTTCTTTTCTTCTGGCGCACCTAGAGCAAAAATATGAAATGTTTCAGGTATCCTTTCTCTTCCCTTCCTCGTAATCTTTATCTTTTTAAGGGATTAGCTTGTTTTTCTTTTGCTTCGCTATTCGTTCGCCTTTTAAAACATAATGGTTTTTATAGGGAGAGTAACAAAATTTGACGCTCGGCTAAAGCAAAGCTTTGCCAACGTTCGAGACACAAATTTGCACTTCCTTTCGAAAATATTTCGTAAAATAATACGTATATACTGTATACATATAATAATAATTGTAGTTCATGTTCTTATTTTTATCAATATATTAGTCCATTTCTTTTTCTTCTTTACTATTGAGAAGTAGTTTTTGGTAAATCTAAACCATGCTATAACCCCTCCAACGAATCACAGCAAGTCATTGTTGGGCCCTTCCGTTGGACAGATAAATTGAAAATTCATTATTAAGGTTTTAATATATATTATTATCTATTTTTAAATAATAAATAAAATAATTAGTCCTTTCTTGTCCATTGTATTAAAGTATTTAAAATTACAAAACGAATTTTCTACATCTGGACTGAATGTAGACAATCGGTCAGTGTAGAAAATACGGTATAATATGTAAAATGTTCTACATACCCAACCCTGTGGATAGACTCTTGGACATCCCTGGTAGTTTAACGATATTTTTATTTCTCGTAAAGTAATTCCTTGCTAGTAAAATTGAAACCCTTAAAACTGTCGTATTTATCATAATATACAGGGTGGTCCAAATTGTCTTCAGGAAACTTCGGCGGCATATTCTGCAGATTAAAATAAGTAAAAAAGTTCGAATAAATCTATGTCATAAAATACTTAGTTTCGGAAATACAGGGTGTCGAAGTTTCATTTTTATTTCGATTCTTTCCAAATAATTTATGAAGTAACATTAATATTTGGATAAAAATTGGTGTCTGGGAGTTTTTTGACATGAGAAATTTGATTTTGATGGCAATATGACACCTACTTGTAGAGGGCGCCACCTACATATTTTTTAACTGAAAGAAACTCGAAGAAAAAAATTTTATTTAATTTAAAAAAAATAAATCCGGTGGCTGACCTTGAAACGAGTTTTTGCTGCATATAGTCACACACAATACGCATGCGCACATCTTTGATGTTGCCAGATTGCAAGTTATTTTGAAATTATTTTCAGTAGAAACCAAATATATGCTTTTCAGGGTTTTTTGTCAATATATATATACCGTATGATCGAAAAAACGGCGTCCGGTTGGGTGGGAAATGACGATTTAGGACATTTCCCATATAACATAGTCATCGCTGACGCTATTTTTTTCAATCATAGTACGCCCGGTATATTATTTATATTATTTTAATATTTCGCACAACATGGGAACGCTTATTATGTATTTTGATAGTCAATAAAATTAAATAGAAATAAAACTCTAGATTCCTATAATTAATCTAATTGCTCTAGATTATTATGCTATCCTTAAAAGTGCTATATTAAAAATTCGGGAAATTAAAAGGGATATGTCCAAGTTTTTTCTTTTTTTTTTTAATTTTTAAATGCTGTAGCTCCATGTCATGTTCATAACATGTTTTTTTAACATTCTATCAAAACTACGGAGGCCTTATAAAATTGTAGAATCAGCTTCAGCAACATTAACAGTTACCTTGTTTAATATTCTGCTTATACATATATTGCATAAATTTTTGTGCTATCTGTAGATTTCTCTATTCTTACACCTAATTTATGTGATTTTCTTAGCATAATATGATTTATAAACCATATTTTTCCTAATGGACGGATGGAATAGGATATGCAAAAAAAATATTTTAACATTTATTTTCCAGACAAAGCATAATATAGTATTAAGATTCAGACATAACAAATATTATAAGAAAGATCTTAATATAAATCACAAACTAAGTCTTAATTTGGTCTTGTATAAACACAGGTATAAAACTAATAAAATCAAAACTCAACCTTCACCATATTGTCAAGATTTGGCATTATAGGAAACAAGAAATTACAGTAAATTAAGAAAAGCGTATCAAAGTACACGATATTAAATACTGTAATGTTATTCTACGACACAAACCATCTCCCTTCTAAAGAGAAAAAGATAAAACATAAAGCTTATTTTAGTCTTATCAACACACATACTCTTCGATAAAATATATGTCTAAAATTGCTATTAATCCACTAACTTGATATTTTTAAGAAATTATGATACAAAATACAAACATTATAGGTAAAATATTACCTCTATCTCCCATTGACGTGTATTGTTCTCATTTCTAATAGTTTAAAACCATTAAGAAAAAATCCGTAAATGATAATTTTTAATTCTAATGTAAATAAATAAATGTTTAAATAAAGGTTTAAAAAAAATTATATATTCATAATACTTTCATTTCACAATCTTCATTATCCTTCTTACCTTAATTTTGGATATCAAGATAAATCTGAAATTATAAAATTAATTATAGAATTTGTATTATTATTGATTAACACTCAAAAAAAATTTTTTCAACTGCAAATAATTCGAAAATAAACTGCAATTTGGCAACATCGATGATGTGCGCTTGCGTAGAATCGATGATCAAATGCAGCAAATATGGGCTTCAAGGTCAGCCACCGGATCCACACCTTTACCAAAATAAAAATTTCCTAGATTATATTTTAGTCAAATAACTATTTACTCAACCTGTTTATTTTTTGTCAATAATGACATGTATTGACTATTACAACCTAACCTTCATCCAAATATTGACGTTACTTATTTTTATCTGCAGAATATGCTGCTGATGTTTCCGGAATACAGTTCGGTTCGGACCACCCTGTATAGTTGTTTAGAACAATATTTTAGTAGTGGGAACTATCGAATGAATACTATCGAAACATTCGATAGTTGCAATTCATTCGAATAATTCGATAGCTAGTAAGAAAACATTCGTCGAAAACTATTCGAATAAAAATTATCGAATAGATGCGTGATCTGCCTTGAAATATTGTATTCTAGTAATTCGGCAGCAAAAACCATTCATTTATAAAATTCATTCATTTATCAAATTCATTTATTCGTCAGGATCGATTTTAATAAAATATAAACTGGATTTTAGTTGTCGTCCGGCGACGTAGGTTTCTTTCCTAGAAACCCGACAGCGGTCGGTGGCAATGCTATGAAAGAAGCCGGCATCTTTTGATTTTTGCGGAGTCTAATAAAGATAAGGACACATTATTTTTTTATTGAGGTGCTAGTATTTACACAGAAAATACATTATGAAGGGCGCTGTTGCCATATATTCGTATTAGTTGGTATTAGCAAAGAATATTTTTCTTTAGCATTAGTTAGTTAGGGATAGTATGGCTATATGTTTTGCATTTTTTTATTAATATTCTGTTGTTACACTGCAATAATACTTTTTATTTTGGATACAGGAAAATTATTTTTAATGTTTTTAAGCAAAGACTGGTTTAATAAATAATAATAACACTAATAATTTGTTATACAAAATTTAAAATCATTTAATAATATAAACATTTTTTTTAAGTAGTATCAAAATATAAACAACAAATAGAAGTCAAAAGTATTTATATTAGATCCTATTTAAAAATAATATAGTCTCTAAATGGCAATGTTGGTTTATTAAATAATAATAATTACAGAACTAATTTGTTATATTAACAACAAATTTTAAAATCATGAAATATAAACATTTATTAATTTTCTAAGCATGCAGTGTAATGGAAGGAAAATATAAATAAAAAATTAGAAATCAAAATTATTTATATTAATTTTTATTACTTAATATTACTATTTAAAAATAATATTTACTTTTACTGGCATTTACTTTAAAAAATAAATGAAATATTTCTTCGCAAAAAACTACATGTAAGAGAATTAGCATAAACAAAATACAAACATTGTTAACATTTTTTTTTAAATTGGCACGTGTAAAACTTTCAATTTAATTTTCTCACCCCAAAATTTGAGTTTGATAACCCCATTTACTTAACCACATTACTTAAATATGATGATTAAGTTCAACTAATTCATATTATTAAAACGTCTAAAATACAAATATGTATTTTTAAAATTAATTGGAAGTTCATCTCATCTCTCTTAAAAATTGCTACTTCTCAAAATTTCCCATTAAAAAATGTAATCTAATCTAACCATAATATACATACAAAATTAAATAATTGAAAGATCGGGCTACGGAAAATCAAACAAATTTTCGGAAAAATTTTGACCACTTCGACACAATCGTCAATTAAAAAAAAAAAAACGACTATTTTAGTATTTTAAATATTTTAATAAACGCAAAAATAGCATAGTATTTACAAGGCGAAGTTATAAAAATTTGGAAGAATTAATAATGCAACTGACGCACACAAAAATCAAACGAATACTAAATTTCATTTATCAAAAGCATTCGATAGTCGTGGCTCGTGGCGCAACGATAACCATTTAGTCGCACGGCGAGGTTGTCACATATGCTTTAGTATACAAATGAATGAATGATTTTATTCGAATAAAACTATTCGATAGCTGAAATCATTCATTCAGTAACCATTCGATAGTCTAATTCATTCGATAGTTCCCATCGCTAGAATATTTCTTTTTCAAAGACAAACAGAACGACATACAAATAAACGGCTGAACAGAAAACGCAAAAATATTCGTTCGGTACAAAGGAAATAACACACATTTCTTTTCCAGAGTTTATCAAAGCAGTCATCTCTGGCTGAATCGCAAATATATTCTTCCGAAGAGGAACACTTAGACGCCGGACAATCATAATTTTATTCTTTGCTTCATTTTAACGTTGTTTTAAAACAAACTATTTATAATGGAAATCGAAGTTCAAATAAACCTTTTTCTATCGTTTTATAAACCTACGGTATTGTTTAATATTCGAATATCGCCATTGTTTCTTTCAAAAAAAAAACTTTTTCCCCAAAAAAATCATTGTCTAACAAAAAAACAATATTTATTATCGATAAAGTGCTTCTTCTCTAACATAATATAAATGAGTGTTTCCTAGTTACAACTTTTCTATATTTGTTCAGAGGCTCCGAAAAAACATCAATCTTTAGACCTCCCTGCTGGACAATAAATCCATTTGTCTTAATAAACCTTGATAGAAATTTAAAACGCGTTAAGTAAAAAATTGTTGGAATAAAACGATATATTTGATGTTTTTCGGGTCCTTCTTTCCTCCTAGGATAATAGAAATAAGTATTATATGATGTTGCACAGAGAGTTAGTAAGTGAATCCATTCCATTACCTAAAAAAAATCTATCCTCGAACTGCTATCGTTCGTAGTCATATACATATTTATAAAATCCTTCAAAAAAGGGTCCCTTAGCTTTAAGCAAAAATACTCTTTATATACAGGGTTATTCACAAAAAAGATCTTAGAAGTTTCTTATGTTTCAATTTCAATAAATCACGAAAATTGGCAATAAAAATAAAAATATTAATAATTTAATTTAAAGAGGTAAAAAAAGCATCAGAAACTTCTAACGAATCAGAACTTGTATAGTACCCTGGTTTCATGTTATTAAATGCCTACTATTAATATATTTTTATATTTAAGTTTATACTAAAAATTTTATATGAAATTTGTTACACAAATGCGTAAGATTCGATAAAAAACATAACATAAAATTGCAGTCTTTTGTTGAATAGTCTGTAAAGATGTATATTCTGTTTTAGAAGACAGGTTAATTCCAGTAAGTCCTATAGGTTTTATATCTTGCGATAAAACTATACATATCAAGGAAATTATTATATGTAGAACGGAATTGAACAATTTAAATCAATAACAGATTATATGGCAAATATCGAATTTACTTAATGTATAGTTTTCCTTTAATAAAAATAAAATATACAGTTCTTATTGTGACTGTTGCCCAGTAAGCACATAAATATGTATATGTTATTGAAATAAAATTGAGAAAAATATTTAGATGATTTGTTCTGTGATTGCTGGGTAAGACTGATTAAAACAGAAAATACATACTACAATATATATTACCATAAAACAATTTATTTAAAACAAAATGAAGATATGTGTCTCATGGAACTAATATAAATATCTCGTTAAGTTGCATGTGACACGTGATCTGAACTAAACACTGAACTTAATTGAAATAGTGACTAAAATTGCATGGGCTATACCCTCCTTTAATTGTTTAAAATCAACTGTGCTACTTAAAACCTAAAATTTATTCTAAAAGAAGGTCTCTATTCTATTGAGCAATAAATAATCTACTGACTATTGCATAATCACTTTCTAGAAAAAAAATTAAATACCAAATGAACCACGACATATAAAAGTCGTTAATATGTGTACTAGAATGTTAGTGTCCCTAAAAATAAAAGGTTTAGAAATTATCTTAGTATTTTTATTTCCAATCCAACATCTCTCTTATTCCTAGAAAACATTTGAAAAACTTAATTCATTAAAATTAATTTCTGGCAATTTGTTAAGAAAATGGTGAAGGAGCCACAAGTATTATAATCTATTCTACGACAAAAACGTAATTAAACAGCAGAGAACTGAAAAACACTTTATTTTAAGAACGAAACAATACATTACATTAATTTAAATTTTATTGAAAGCAGCTATATCAACACTTTGAACCTGAAAAAAAATCAAAAAACCATGCAAGAATTATTTTAAATGTAACTTGTTCCCTTACATAATCCTCGAGAGCTTCAATTTGCTTAAGAAGCAGTAGCCAATCTATAGAAACTTTGTCATCTTCAACTACACAAGATATTTGGAGCTTATGCTTCAATTTGTCCAGAGCTTTAATTTGCTCAGTTAGCCAAATATCCAATTGTAGGAACTTTTTTTTGGCAGCATAAGCAAGTCTTTCTTCTCTAATTATGGAAGCTTCGGCAGACTCTTCATCTGAATCAGAAGCAAACAGATCAATATGATTATCATCTGCAGGCTTAGAAGCAGTCTCTTCAATCTGTCGAACTTTTTGAACATTTATTTCATGGACTGAGTGAACAGATGCATTGGCTTTATCCAAAGCAGTTAATCGACTCCCGAGCGCTTTCACTTTGTCTAAGAACTCACTAAAATCTTTTGACAAAAAAGTCAATAATAAGTTGAGCAAGAAAAAATATAAAATTACCTTTTCCTAAAGCAACAACTTTTTTTTCGATGAATTTAATTGCTCCAACATCAACTGATAGAATATTGGCTACATCAATCTAGAAAAAAATTAATTACCAAATGAACCACAACATATAAAAGTTGTTAATATGTGTACTAGAATGTCAGTGTACCTAAAAATAAAAAGGTTAGAAATTAGCTTAGTACTTTCCAAACTATCTGCCTTATATTCCTAGAAAACATTTGAGAAAAACTTAATGCATTAAAATTGAAGGATTCAGGAGAAACAACAAACATGATAAGCGCCATTTTACATGTGAGCCCTGTACAGCTGGTGGGTATCAGGTTCTTTCTGTATATTCTATATTTTTACTAGGCATAGGATTAAACAACTTATTGCCCTGTATAGTTTATACATTTTGTCGCGACGGTATCGTAAAATCCTAAAATTAAAAAATTGGCGCTTATCAAGTTTTTCCCCAGGACCTTTCAATTTGTTTCTTGCAATTTGTTGATAAAATGGTGAAGGAGCCTATTATCAATTCTACAACCAAAAGGTAACTAAACGGCAAAAAAACTGAAAAATACTTTATTTTAAGAATGAAACAATTAATTAAATTAGTTTAAATTTTATTGAAAGCAGCTATATCGACACTTTGAACCTGAAAAAAAAATCGAGAAATTAATACAAGAATTATTTTAAAAACTTTTATTTCTTACAAAATCCTCGAGTGCTTCAATTTGTTCAGTTAACCAATCTATAGAAACCTTGTCATCTTCAACTACACAAGATATTTGAAGCTTATGAATTCCAAAAGCTAAAGGTGCCAATTTTGCAGCACCCCATAACAAACCATCAGTCTGAATTTTTCTGACATTTTCCTCCATGACTTTCATGTCAGTTTCATCATCCCAAGGCTTCACATCAAGTATAATATTTGATTTAGCAATGAGGGCTGGTTCTATAGTAAAATTATTATCATGTATTATAACAAAACATTTCAAATTTCCAATTGCAGCAACTTACTCTTCGATTTTTTGGCAGCATAAGCAGCAAGTCTTTCCTCTCGAATTTTGGCAGCCTCAGCAGACTCTTCGTCTGAATCAGAAGCAAACAAATCAATATCATCATCATCTTCATCTGCAGGCTTAGAAGCAGTCTCTTCAATCTGTGGAGCTTTTTGAACATTTATTTCATGGACCGAGTGAACAGATGCATTGGCTTTCTCCAAAACAGTTAATCGACTCTCGAGCAATTTCACTTTGTCTAAGACCTCACTAAAAACTTTAGACAAAAAAACCTCAATAAGAAGTTGACCAAGAAAAAATTTTAAATTACCTTTTTCTAATGCAACAACTTTCTTTTCGATGAATTTGATTGCTCCAACATCAACTGATAGAATGTTGGCTACATCACTCTAGAAAAAAAAACAATAATCATAACATAATACTTTAAATGAACAAATTAGTACTATAATTTTCTCACTATCTAAAACAAAAAAACTTATTTTATTGTTAAATTTCTAACAAATACTTACTCAAATCAGGGAAGCTAAGCAAATGCAGTGCAGGGTGAGATGACATGAACACACAGAAACCAAGGACCATGAATAACCCATACCACAAAATACATGCAATATTACTCAATGATATGTATTAATGTTAATAGACTAATGAATAACATGCTAGACACATATATATTTTAATATACAGATTATTACAATAGTGATTATCAAACTTTTGTACCGACTATTAATAATTGTTAAATTATTTGTTAATGATTAAAACATACTTTCAAGCACTTGCAAAACATATGTTCACATAAAAGTATAAAAGTTAAGCAACTCCAATACAGAAACCAAACCAATAAAGATTTAAAGAACTAAATATAAACATTACTCACAGAAAATGTATCTCTACTCTCAATCAACTTCTGTCGTGCTTTGGCCACTTCCCCAGCCAAAGGAGTTAGAGCTGCCTGCACCAAAAAAGTTTAAAGTTAATTAATTCAACCTGATATGTTCATTATAACTTCATTAAATTGCATGGTACTTCAGAAATGCAATAATGAAATATAAATTACTTTAGGATGATAGTATTGGTTCAGTTTAGGTTAATATACAAGGTTTTTATACAGAAAAACAAGATGATTATAGAAATAATACCACTGCCTTTAAATGAATGTATTGTTATATGAAAAGCAGATATAGTAAGTATAGAACATAAAATTACCATGTGTGTTTTGAAGCGTTTAGAATACTGAATATTCTTGAATAAAACCTTGGCATCGGATACTAACACATAGTTTTAGCTTTAGCCAAAATAAACAGTTAAACTCTTAAAATCAACAGATGTAAATAATAGAACATACCTTGGCAGCATTTTCATAGTAGGCAGTTTCTGCATCGTCGTAGATCTTTTTAGAAATCCAAATATCTCCTGAAGCAAGATTCTTCATTTTGTAGTTCCTAAAAAATACCGGTTATGGTTTAGTTTGTAGTTGAAAAGCTATACTGTTAACTGTAAAATAAACAAAAATATATAAATTTTAAATCTCAAATGTGTGCCAAAAAGCACTCTCTCACCTTTTAGTCTTTTTTTAGAAATATATTTGGCCAAGAACTTTGAATTCAAAAAAAGACGCACATGTGACACGTAACCAGAGAAAAGGACGCCATGTGTCGTCTTTTGTTTTCACGATTGCCAACCGCGAACCTAGTTACTTATTCTTTATTGCCAACCTTAATGGTGTTTAAATACCGCAGGCAACCAGACATACACGACTTAAAAATTAAATTATTGATCTGTTGAATAAACATTATTAAAATATTTACTGTAGAAATTCCTAAATACTAGTTAAAGTTGAATTATTCATTTTTTTAGTACTTAATATTCAATAATTTTATACAAGGATTAGAAAATTACAGTGACCTAAGGGTGGAGTTAAATTTCCTAATTTGATCATTTCTGCATAGATGGCACGTAATTAGAAAAATCCCGACATAATTGTATAGTAACGCGGCAATTCAAATGAAAAGGTTAAGAAAAAACAAATAATAAAATTAGGGTGCAGGTGGGATTTATTTTAAAACATATATAAAAATAATAAATATAACATTTAAAATTTAACTACTAGCAACAGCATTGGCCGTAGCTACGCTGTTTGCACCTCCATTATAACCACCTTGGCTTTTGCTGGAGCTGCTTGCGGAGGATGAGGTCGCAGTAAAGCCATTCCCAGTAAATGTTTGGGTTTGTGCATTAGCATTGGCTTCTCCAGTTCCACTAGCACCTAAATCATACAAAAAAATAAGTCACAGCCCCAGACGAAGTTCTATGCGTTATTTATTATATATTTACCCGCATTGGCACCTCCTTGTCCATTGTGTCCAGCTGCCTGTCCACCGTGGAATGAAGAACCATCTCCGGCATTGGCATTTGCGTTAGATTCCGCATTAGATCCTCCTTGAATTTTACAAATTAATAATTTAAAAAAGAACTACATCATAATATAACATAATTACCAAAGTCAGGCCCTCCAAATGCACCAGGTCCGGCTGGTCTTGGTGGTCCGAAACCTGGCTGCCCGTGTCCTCCAAAACCTGGACCGCCATGATGACTGCCAGGTCCTCCAAAGCCTGGACCTGGACCTTCAAAACCTCCTAGTTTGTTAAATCCTCCTTCGTTGTTTCCAAATTGGCCAGGGAAGACAAAACCACCTGCTACATTAAAGGTAACATTCAATTAACTTGTTATTATTGTTTAATATGTATGTGTTACCATCGGCACTGGCTTGAGCTTTGGCGTTGGCATCACCTCCTCCAAAAGGACCGCTGAGACTACCAGCCTCTGCGTTTGCATCAGCATTTGCAGATGATCCTCCATGATGGTGCCTCGGAGATCGGACTACTCGTATACCAGGAGCGAATTCCAAAGGAACATATATGTCTCCATTGTATTCAATACCAGGAATATCTAGATGCGGACATAGAAAATATAAACACGTTTCCTATATTTTGTAGTACATATTATCACAGGGTAATATATTCCATGTTATGTGTGGTATTATCTACTAATAAGATACAGGATACAAAAAATCTTAAAGCCTATTTAAAAAATTTACATAAATTTTAAATGTACTTATTTATTCCACACGAATGAATATCAAATTTATGAAAATTCCACAAGGTATTAGTTTTAATTTTCTTAATGTGTTTCTGTTAAAATTCCGGTTTTTAAAGTATCATTGACGAGTGTTAAAAATTATTTAAAATAATTTGTGAAAATACTTACATTCGTAAGGGGCTGAATTACAACAGACAACCACTAAACACAGCACGGATAAGAACTTGATAAACTTCATTATGAAAATATTTGTGTAATAACAGATATATGACGGTATATATTTATAGAAATTGCAAAGTAAATAGTTTCCCCACCAGACATAAAAAATCTGTTGATCTCAGACTTAGGGAACTACCATCATCTACATCCAAAAACCCGTTTAGAAAAATCTTAAATAAATACTAGCTCATCTCAACAAGGTAATATTAGCCATTCAATATGCTAATTTATTTTCTTATTACAGAGTTGTTGGAAATAACGTATTTGGGATTTCTTATCGTCACCATAGCAATGTTCATTCATTTCTCAAAAAACAATTTACCTTTACAGGTAGTTATTTATTTATTTTATTCTTTTTAAAAATAAGACTCTTTGAACTTACAATATCAGCTTCTCAGTGCAAATCCATGGTCTAACTAATTACAAAATGCAATGTAACAAAAATGCACTGTAAAAATATAATCTTGACCTACCCAATGATTAACTGCGTTCACCGAAAAAATATTACGACAAGGCTAAACCTTAAATTAAAGCAGTTCATGAAAAACTGAACGGTATTGATAATACCATCCCTGCAGACTGCTGTAGGCAATATTTACCAGTATATCTGGTATATTTTTTCAAGATCATAACCATGGAGTCCCATTAAGGTTTTTTCACTTCCAGGAAGTATCAAATTTTGTGAACTACTTTCTATAAGATAATAAATATTAGTATAAGCCTTTTAGTATCTGCACATCTTATCATCTCACTGAAAGCTATATTTTATTAGAAGCAGCACAAGTCGTTTGAATTGTGTAATAAATACGATATACTAAAAATAAACCATTTTGACCAGGTGAAACGATTAAAAAACTAGATATGCTAATAAAAAATTAACATTTTAACGTCCTAAAATCAAAAGTTTTTTTTTTTAAATTTATTATTACTATTGTCATAACACTCTGTATCTGATTTTACCGGAAAATCCACAAAAATATTAACGACCTATCCAAAAACCGTCTATATATTAGCATATTTATTATAGAATAGATGATTACAGTTTTGTGATACACCTGAATTTTAAATTCTAAAATGTTAAATAAAATCCGGTTATATAAAAATTTGTTTAGATAATAATCATATCTTTATTATAAAACCTCTTAAATATTCCTTTTTTATTCAATATAATATACAGTCATTATAATTTAAATAATAATTAACCACCAAAACGCTCGAAAAATCAATTTTCATAAAGACCCGAGCAGTCCATGAACATTCTCAATACAAGGGTCCAAAAAATTAATTTTCCCGCAAAACCAAGATATCTAAGCCTTTAAAGGTATATTCTGAATCTAGATAAAATTTCCCATAAATGAAATTTTCACAATTTTATGGCTATGATTACTATCTTTCTAAGGCCTTTGAAAATGTGTGAAAAATAGCCAAAAATTGGGCATTTTTTCAACTTTTTTCCACACTCACGAATATTCGCGTTATTATATAGGCCATTATAGTCTTACAAGAACGGTAATGGATGTAGGAAACGTTTCATCAAAAGTGTGTAAAAAGGCATCTAGGCATCCAAAGGTATATAGTCTATATTCTGAATCTACATAAAATTTTCTATAAAAGCTGAAATTTTCTTAATTTTATGGCTGTGATTACTATTTTTCTAAGGCCTTTGAAAATATGTAAAAATAGCCAAAAAATGGGCGTGAAACTTGGCAATTTTCGTCATGTCACCGATTTTGTTAAAACTGCCGTTATTTACTAATTAAAAGGCGTAGAATAAGAAAATATAGACCATTGTAGTTCTACGAGAACAGTAACAGATGCAGGGGACGTTTTAACCATCATCATAAATAGCTCAAAAACAAAGGCTCAAAAATAAATTTTCTCGCAAAACCAAGATATCTAAGCGTCTGAAGGTCTATGTCTTCTGAATCTACATAAAATTTCCTACAAATAGTGATAATTTGATAATTTTAGGACTAGGTTTTTATCTTCCTAAGACCTTTGAAAATGAGTAAAAAGTAACAAAAAAAATGGGCATTTTTTTGTTTGTGAAAATTGGCGATTTTCGTCATGTCATCGATTTTATTCAAACTGCTGTTATTTGTTAAGTAAAAGGTGTATATTAAGAAAATATAGGCCATTGTAACCTTACGAGAACAGTAATAGATGTAGAGACGTTTTAGCCATCATAAAAAAAACGAGGGTTCAAAATTTAATTTTCTCAAAAAACCAAGATATCTAAGCCTTTAAAGGTATATTCTGAATCTAGATAAAATTTCCCATAAATGAAATTTTCACAATTTTATGGCTATGATTACTATCTTTCTAAGGCCTTTGAAAATGTGTGAAAAATAGCCAAAAATTGGGCATTTTTTCGACTTTTTTCCGCACTCACGAAAATTCGCGATATTAACAAAAAGGCGTAGATTAACAAAATATAGGCCATTATAGTCTTACAAGAACGGTAGTGGATGTAGGAAACGTTTCATCAAAAGTGGGTAAAAAACAAGGGTTCAAAAAATTGATTTCCTCACAAAACCAAGGTATCTAGGCATCCAAAGGTGTCTATATTCTGAATCTACATAAAATTTTCTTAATTTTATGGCTGTGATTACTATTTTTCTAAGGCCTTTGAAAATATGTAAAAATAGCCAAAAAATGGGCGTGAAACTTGGCAATTTTCGTCATGTCACCGATTTTGTTAAAACTGCCGTTATTTACTAATTAAAAGGCGTAGAATAAGAAAATATAGACCATTGTAGTTCTACGAGAACAGTAACAGATGCAGGGGACGTTTTAACCATCATCATAAATAGCTCAAAAACAAAGGCTCAAAAAATAAATTTTCTCGCAAAACCAAGATATCTAAGCGTCTGAAGGTCTATGTCTTCTGAATCTACATAAAATTTCCTACAAATAGTGATAATTTGATAATTTTAGGACTAGGTTTTTTATCTTCCTAAGACCTTTGAAAATGAGTAAAAAGTAACAAAAAATGGGCATTTTTTGTTTGTGAAAATTGGCGATTTTCGTCATGTCATCGATTTTATTCAAACTGCTGTTATTTGTTAAGTAAAAGGTGTATATTAAGAAAATATAGGCCATTGTAACCTTACGAGAACAGTAATAGATGTAGAGGACGTTTTAGCCATCATAAAAAAACGAGGGTTCAAAAATTTAATTTTCTCAAAAAACCAAGATATCTAAGCCTTTAAAGGTATATTCTGAATCTAGATAAAATTTCCCATAAATGAAATTTTCACAATTTTATGGCTATGATTACTATCTTTCTAAGGCCTTTGAAAATGTGTGAAAAATAGCCAAAAATTGGGCATTTTTTCGACTTTTTTCCGCACTCACGAAAATTCGCGATATTAACAAAAAGGCGTAGATTAACAAAATATAGGCCATTATAGTCTTACAAGAACGGTAATGGATGTAGGAAACGTTTCATCAAAAGTGTGTAAAAAGGCATCTAGGCATCCAAAGGTATATAGTCTATATTCTGAATCTACATAAAATTTTCTATAAAAGCTGAAATTTTTTTAATTTTATGGCTGTGATTACTATTTTTCTAAGGCCTTTGAAAATATGTAAAAATAGCCAAAAAATGGGCGTGAAACTTGGCAATTTTCGTCATGTCACCGATTTTGTTAAAACTGCCGTTATTTACTAATTAAAAGGCGTAGAATGAGAAAATATAGACCATTGTAGTTCTACGAGAACAGTAACAGATGCCGGGGACGTTTTAACCATCATCATAAATAGCTCAAAAACAAAGGCTCAAAAAATAATTTTTCTCACAAAACCAAGATATCTAAGCGTCTGAAGGTCTATGTGTTCTGAATCTACATAAAATTTCCTACAAATAGTGATAATTTGATAATTTTAGGACTAGGTTTTTTATCTTCCTAAGACCTTTGAAAATGAGTAAAAAGTAACAAAAAATGGGCATTTTTTGTTTGTGAAAATTGGCGATTTTCGTCATGTCATCGATTTTATTCAAACTGCTGTTATTTGTTAAGTAAAAGGTGTATATTAAGAAAATATAGGCCATTGTAACCTTACGAGAACAGTAATAGATGTAGAGGACGTTTTAGCCATCATAAAAAAACGAGGGTTCAAAAATTTAATTTTCTCAAAAAACCAAGATATCTAAGCCTTTAAAGGTGTATATATTCAGAATCTACATAAAATTTCCTACATATACTGATATTTTCATGATTCTAGAACTATGTTTCCTATCTTTCTAAAACATTTTTATAAAAGTTGATGCTACAAGAAAGAGTTATTGAAGAAGAATTTTTAAGGAAGCATTTCTCTAACACCTAGCAAAGAAATGCTGATTAATGGTCAAATTTTTGTAAAATCATAGCCGATTCAGCAGCTATGTTAATTCGGACGACCTTCGGGAGACAGACAGCACAGCGAGATATTCCTTCAGGTCCTATAAAAGGTTGGCCACTTGTCCGAAAGAGATCAGTATCACTTTCCGCTGTTTAAGCCAAAAAACAGTCTCGCCACTTTTTTTTATTTCATTTTTAGTCAAGACAAAATCACCGAAGAATCATGAAAATTTCATTGCTTGTTGCTTTCGCCTGTGCCATCTACATTGCGAACGCAGCCTCAGTCTACACACCGGAGGTGATTAGAGAAAAAAGATCCCCGGTCCTAGGAAGCTTAGCCCTAGGAGCTGGAGCATTAGGGGCTGGTGCAATAGGGGCAGGACTCCTTGGTGCTGGAGTTCTGGGAGCAGGCGCCCTAGGAGTTGGTCTAGCCAAAGGAGCAGTCATTGGAGGAGTTGTTGGAAGGAGTCTGTAAGTATCTTTTTTACTTATTTTTACAATACTGTTGTTATATATTTTCAATTAAGTATTTTTGTAATATTTCTAACTTTATCATACAGGGTGAATGTTAAATAAGCGCAAATATTTTTAGAGGTAGTATATTTTTTCGCGAAAAAAAAATTAAAATTTGGAATTTTTTGAAAACTTTTTTGAATTTTTTTCTAGTTTTTAATTAAAAAAAACACAATTCCTTGATAATATGGCAACATAGGTATAGTCTGTCCAACGAGAAGATCCTTGACAGTGATAGATGTGTCTGTCATTTTAATTTTAAAGTAGTTTATTTTATTTTACAAAGAAATAAGTTGGTACAACTGGAACGCATAGCAGGAAATTATTATATTTAAAATTTGACTGACAAGTGATTACTTCAAAATATTGTGAAAAAAACTGTATAAAACTGAAAAAATGTAATCGAGTTATTTAATTTAATAAAAAACGGTATGTGTTAATACAAAACAAACAAGAACAAGACACCACGTACCAAAAAAATATAAAAAAGAACTATTTCTTACTTTCAAGCTTTATGAAACTTCCCGCATTTATGATTATATTTATTAATATAACTTATGCACAAATACAAATTTGTAATATTCCGCAGGAATAAATAAAACAACATAAATAAAACAAACTATTTTATAATTAATAACACTTACCAAATTTTATAGGTACCTTAAAGGTTGATTAATTAACTTTAATCTTAATTTTTTAAACCAGTACCTTTGGCATTATTTTTCTTGTGCAGTACTAAAATCCATTATTTACGTATCGTGTGATGTCGATATTTTACAGCTACTCCAGTTTTTAGTATGTGTTTAGAGTATGGTCCTTCTACCATATTCGAGATGCACTTATCTACGACGAGATGGTATACGAACTTTAATGATGGTATCTTTATTGGTGTATAAGACTTTTTGCCTGGGCAGCGAGTATTAACCATAAACTGTGCTCTGGGTCTGGGTTTACAGTTAATTTTCACTCGATTTTTCCTTCACTTGACTTCAAAAGACACAAAACACACGTCATAACACGAATCAAAATGCATATCTTCAAAAACGCAGGGTATTTGACAAAACTGACAAAAGTTGACACAAAATTATAACCTCTAATTTGGCAAGACTTTGACAAGCGTCAAAACTAAAGGCGAGTTCATACGCATCGGCGCGGCGTCCGTTTGTCGTTCATCGTTCCGTCAAACCAATAAAATTGAAATACGATCTGTCATTTTTTAAATAAACCAATAAAACTGGTTAAAAACAAGAAGACACGACGCATGACGGATTTATATTTAAACCCATCCATAGTTAACTTAAAAATTATTAGAAACTTTTTATAGTAAAATAAATAGATTGGTATGGGACGTCATCTGCTTTTTTTCTGTCATCGTCTGTCGAAATCTTACCTGAGAAAAAAAACAGAGTATAGCAAATTAAATTTACAAGAAAAACACCCCAGAAAAGATCCAGTGGTTCTCAAAATTTAAGCAAAAAATCATTTTTTTAATTTTCAAAGTAAAATTACTTGGTTATTTTGGACTTATTTGAAAAACGGTAAAGAGAAAATATTTTTCTTTTGTCGAGATCTACCAGCCCTGAAGATATTTGCCTTGCTTATTTGAGAATCACCCTGTGTATTTAAACTTTTTAGAATATGTACTCATTACCCCCTTTTCATTTTTAATTTAAAACAAGGGTTCGAAAAATAAATTTTCTTATAAAACCAGCGAATTGAAGCTTTTTCTGCCTATATACTAAACGTAGAAAAAAATGTCTATAAATGTTTAGATTTTAGTAATGTTTTAAAAGAACCTACTATTTTTCTGTAAGACAAGTAAAAAATAATTCTATAAATTTTTTTTTCCATTTTTTAAAATTCTTTAAATACTATAAAAATTAATATGAAAGTGGTACTAAAGCTACCGAAAAAATACATACTTGTATCTAATTTTAACATCTCCATATCAATGTCAAGTTCAATACCAAGTTTATAATAAATTTGCATTTAATTTTTTGTTGGTGAAGCATGTTTTTTACATAACACATATTAAATAAATAAAAAATTATTTGTTATATTTTTTAGTGGTGGATACGGAGGCTATGGTGGATATGGATATGGTGGTTACAGATATGGATACAGCCATCCTGTACATGTAGTTTATCACGACTACTATGACTGGTGTAAGTGAGGCTCTATTACTTAATTAATATTCTTAATTTTATTTCTTTTTTATTTTTCACAGAAATGAAGTCCACAACTTCTGCCAGACAAAGTGTACAAACGTATCTTACGCTTATTTTGTAGTACTAATATTTAATAAATTTTTGTTGCCTTTAAGTAATATTGTATTTTATTTCCTCTAGTGGTCAGAAGCAATTAGATTTAATTATTAATAAAATACTTGCCTGGGTAGAAAGAAGGGATAAGATAGGAAGAAATAAAAGCCCAACTATTATTTCTACAGGTTTAATTACATTAATAGTAAAATGCATATTTTTTTTTTCATCTGAAAGAAACTCTTATACATATCAAAGTGTCTTAATAAAAAGTCATTTACCTAATTCCTACAAATAGTATGTACAAAATCATTCAAACTTCTTCATTTTACTACAAATGTATTGACTACAATATAAAATAGTTTGGGTATATTATTTCAGTTAAATGAGTCGTCTAATTCTTGTCACCCTGTATAAAAGCAACTCAGCGATAAACCTCGCAATTTTTATGTCTGCTAATAATACATCATTGATCAAATACTGTTGTACAAATATTAGATTTCGAGGGTTAGTGACCACAATAATACAAAGTCGAATCAAATTAGATTAGCTATATTTAACAATCTTTTAGAAATTTGATATTTTCAGAATACATTGAGGCTTTTCTCGTATGTATACGTGACAATGATAAAAATACCACACCCAATGGAATTTACAAGCCAAGTCCGATTTATTTAAAACTGAAAAGCATCGAGCTCAGTCAAGGATCTTTAACAGCGGGGTAAAAGCCCTAAAGACATCCAGATTTTTAGAAAACATTCATTTCACATTACACATATTAAATAAATAAAAAATTATTTGTTATATTTTTTAGTGGTGGATACGGAGGCTATGGTGGATATGGATATGGTGGTTACAGATATGGATACAGCCATCCTGTACATGTAGTCTATCACGACTACTATGACTGGTGTAAGTGAGGCTCAATTACTTAATTAATATTCTTAATTTTATTTCTTTTTTATTTTTCACAGAAATGAAGTCCACAACTTCTGCCAGACAAAGTGTACAAACGTATCTTACGCTTATTTTGTAGTACTAATATTTAATAAATTTTTGTTGCCTTTAAGTAATATTGTATTTTATTTCCTCTAGTGGTCAGAAGCAATCAGATTTAATTATTAATAAAATACTTGCATGGGTAGAAAGAAGGGATAAGATAGGAAGAAATAAAAGCCCAACTATTATTTCTACAGGTTTAATTACATTAATAGTAAAATGCATATTTTTTTTTTTTTTTCATCTGAAAGAAAAGAAACTCTTTATACATATCAAAGTGTCTTAATAAAAAAGTCATTTACCTAATTCTACAAATAGTATGTACAAAATCATCCAAACTTCTTCATTTTACTACAAATGTATTGACTACAATATAAAATAGTTTGGGTATATTATTTCAGATTAAATGAGTCGTCTAATTCTTTTTGTCACCCTGTATAAAAGCAACTCAGCGATAAACCTCTGCAATTTTTATGTCTGCTAATAATACATCATTGATCAAATACTGTTGTACAAAATATTTTAATTTCGAGGGTTAGTGACCACAATAATACAAAGTCGAATCAAATTAGATTAGCTATATTTAACAATCTTTTAGAAATTTGATATTTTCAGAATACATTGAGGCTTTTCTCGTATGTATACGTGACAATGATAAAAATACCACGCCCAATGGAATTTACAAACCAAGTCCGATTTATTTAAAACTGAAAAGCATCGAGCTCAGTCGAGGATCTTTAACAGCCAGACAAAGTGTACAAACGTATCTTACGCTTATTTTGTAGTACTAATATTTAATAAATTTTTGTTGCCTTTAAGTAATATTGTATTTTATTTCCTCTAGTGGTCAGAAGCAATTAGATTTAATTATTAATAAAATACTTGCCTGGGTAGAAAAGAAGGGATAGATAGGGAAGAAATAAAGCCCAACTATTATTTCTATAGGTTTAATTACATTAATAGTAAAATGCATATATTTTTTTTTTCATCTGAAAGAAACTCTTATACATATCAAAGTGTCTTAATAAAAAGTCATTTACCTAATTCCTACAAATAGTATGTACAAAATCATTCAAACTTCTTCATTTTACTACAAATGTATTGACTACAATATAAAAATAGTTTGGGTATATTATTTCAGTTAAATGAGTCGTCTAATTCTTGTCACCCTGTATAAAAAGCAACTCAGCGATAAACCTCGCAATTTTATGTCTGCTAATAATACATCATTGATCAAATACTGTTGTACAAATATTAGATTTCGAGGGTTAGTGACCACAATAATACAAAGTCAAATCAAATTAGATTAGCTATATTTAACAATCTTTTAGAAATTTGATATTTTCAGAATACATTGAGGCTTTTCTCGTATGTATACGTGACAATGATAAAAAAGGATCTTTAACAGCGGGGTAAAAGCCCTAAAGACATCCAGATTTTTAGAAAACATTCATTTCACATTACATATATATACGAGACAGACAGACAGAAATAGATAACAGTATTATCTAGCCAAAATATATTATTACAGTGTACTATATATAAAAATGAGGAAAAAATCCTTTTTCGATACTAAAAACTCTAAAAAACGTTTAAAATTGGTTTTCTTAAACAATATGCTAGAGTAACAATTAAAAATCAAAGAGGTCTCCGAGGAATGTCGAAAAATATAGAATTTCAAAATTCCTGGATTGGATACTTTACTGATTTATCTAGGATACTCTCTGATTAAATTGAATAAAACTCAAATTACATCGGAAAAGTTGCATATTGCACGCTTTTGTTAACTTCTAGATATAAATATATCACATTTTGGAATGTTTTCCTCTCAGAGTCATTTGGGTATACTATTCATTGGTGTACTGGCACTATGTAATATTCAAGTTCTCAAAAAAAAAAGAAAAAGAATTTAATTTCTGATATAGACCTTAAGAGAGGCTAATATATTGAGCAGAAATATACTCTCGAAAACATTTAGTCTGCAAGAGCAGGAATAATTTACAATCCTACAAAATCTAAGTCTTGATAGAGTTAAGAGTTGAAGTAATATTTTGTGCTAGAAGTACATCTCTCGATTTCTGGCGAAACTTACGTTGAGTTATTTACAGAATAATACTTATTACGATACACTTTTTTACAATTACTTTTAAAATACATGTATATATACTTGTTGTATCCAGTTTTGGCACCAAAAGCGTTCAATTTCAATAAATCAAAATTGCGAGGGCTCATATTATAACACTGATCAAAATATATTTCTGAATTCAAGAGCACAGAAATCTCAACTCTATATATACATAAAAGGAAAATGTACATGTTCATGTCGCAAAGAGCAAATATTATTTATTACGTATATAATTATTCCATAAGTACACAGTCTATTTTCTTGCCTTTAATTATCTATACGCTTATATTAATTAGATAAAATACGAATTAATTTACACATAAATACGTACATGAAAAATGTTTTTAGTAAGAGAAATTACTCTCGATTCAGAAAAATATATTTTGATCTGTGAAAAACAAAAAAAAATAGAGAAAAATTGATGTTCAGTATATTCTACGTTTTTTTTCTTCTTTAAATGGATGGAACAAGGAACGAAAAAAGTGATTATTGCGAACTGTGCAAGATATATTTGAGCAAAGACTAAACAACCTTTATTATTGCTTAAAAACTATTTCCAGAACAACTGCAACAAGTACGTTGAAACGACGGGTTAACAACAATGGAGAATATGCAACTTCCGAAAGCAAGGATAACAATTTGATTTCCATTAAGTCCACATCACAAATAGGATTCCCACTGTATGTGTAATAAGCCCGAGAAAACTCGACAACCAACTTAAGACTCCTCGGCCTCCTCCCTAAACAGGTAGGTCGACCAGTAAATAACATTAAAGAGAGCGAACACCAGAGGAAAGGTGATTCTGGAAATGACATCGATGCGTTTAGACCTTGTCGGAAATTTAGACAACCAAGACCGGCAGCAGTTGGGTCTTGGTTGCATGTGAACCTCGCAGTGGCGAGCCTTTTCTAAACTCATCGGATCACCCGGATGCCGTACGAGAGGTTTCTGAAGCAAAGGAGAACGGTTATTAGCCTGAATGTGATTTTGAACAGTGGCATTTCTTACCATGGCAAAAGTTGCATTGCTTTCGGTATCGATCAAATCGGAAGTAGCGTCTAAAGAAGCGGCATGTTCGAGCTCGCACTGTCTTCGTTGCTTTTTCATATTTTCACGGTGCATATCGGACCTCGAGGCGTAGTTAACTAAAGCGAATTCAAGCAAAGCCCCAAAGACAAACGTCAAACATACCCCTGTCCATACGTCGATAGCTTTGGTGTACGACACTGGCGGAAGAGAAGCGTTTATTCCGGACGTTTGCGTTGCCATCGTCAGCAAAGTAGTCACACCTTCAAAATAACAAAAAAAACAACATGAAATAAATGTATACGAATCAGGATTAACTTAAAGCAATCTTAGTTTAAAACGTCCGCAAGATATACATAGGAAACCATCGTTTGTTTATCCGAATACACCTTGGTAATACTTCCAGTGGTTATTAAATAAATAAATAAATAAATAAATAAATGCCTTTATTGTCAAAAAATTTTTCAATTTGTGGACAAAGGTAAACTAACAAACATAGTAAAAAAAAAAACAAGGTACACAAACAAACAAACAAAAGATAATACAAAACATTATACAAATAATATTGTCAGTCTTATTGTTAAAATAAACATATATAAATGTTTACAATGTCAAAGAACAAAAAAAATTAAAATAATATTCAAAAAATATTTAGCCAGTTTATAGCAGTAAAATATCAATGACCTCCAAATAAATTAATTTCGATGTCATTAGTAAATACAGCAATAGCAAAACATTAGACCAGTGTTTTCAAGATCAAATTCGATTTTCAATTCAAATATAATTCATTAACGGCGTAGAAAGCCTTGTCTAGTAAATAAGAGTTCAATGCTTTGCGAAATGAAAAAATGTGTTATGGATTTGATTTCAAATGGCAGGTGATTGTGCATTTTTTTCGAGTTGTATAGTATTGAACTTTTAACTAACTCTGAGCGTGGGGTAGGTAGATAAAGATCTTGCTCCGCGTTCCTGAGTGGATAAGTGTGAGATGACCTTCCTTGAGAAGCTGATACATGTTTACCTATTAGGAAAATGGATTCAAATATAAATAAGGAAGGAAGAGTCAATATTTTTAATTTTTTAAAAAAGTTCTGCTGTTTAGTCCCAGTGAATATAGAACAGCTCTCTTCTGGAGCCTGAAAATGCGGTCAAATTGAGTCGCACAACACGTACCCCAGAATGGAAGGGCATACCTGAGGTGCGACTCAAAAAGTGCATAATAAACAGTTCTAGCCACTGACAAGTTAAGCTCCTTAGAAACAGTACCTTAATGCAAAACAGGCAGAGCTCAATTTTTTGACAAAGCTTCGATATGTATGTCCCATTTCAGAGAATTGTCCACAACAAGCCCCAAGAACTTTACAGATTTGACGACGTCAATGGTGGTGTTGTTAAGTACAAAAGGCTGCAACGAGTTTTTATACGACAAAGCTTTAGTTTTAGAAATGTTGAGAGTCAGGAGGTTCGAATCGCACCAAGATTTAATGGTGATTAAGTCATTTGATATAATCCTATGAAGTGCCGTGATGTCCTTGTTGTTCCAAGTGAAGCTAGTGTCATCCGCAAAAAGACATATTTTGCCACTGATGTTTATGTTAGCAATGTCGTTAATAAAAAGAAGAAACAAAATAGGGCCTAGTACTGGGCCTTGTGGTACTCCACATTCTATTGGCTTGCTAGAAGACAACGTGGTATCCACCCTCACAAGTTGACTTCTGTCGCTCAGATACGACTTAAACGATTCGAGAGATGATCCCCTGAACCCACAGTGCTGCAGTTTATTAATTAAGATCTTATGATTTACACAATCGAACGCCTTAGAAAAATCACAGAAAATTGTTGCTGTAGAATGATGGTTGTTTAGGCTGGAGTAAACATTATTAAGCAGGGAAAACATAGCGTCATTTGTGGACTTGTTGCTTCGAAATCCAAATTGATATTCAGTAAGTATTTTGTACTTAAACAGAAAAGCCTTCCAAAAGATACCAGCCTTCTTTTAACCAACCTTTCTATGATCTTAGATAGCGTTGGAAGGAGTGCAATTGGGCGATAGTTAGAAGCTTCATCTTTGTCTCCGCCTTTGTGCAGTGGAATGATTATTGCCGTCTTAAGACATTTTGGAAAAATACCATTTTGGAACGACATGTTTATTAAAGTTGTTAGGTGATTCAGAGTGCTTTCTGGCAGATTCGAAAACATTTTTAAAGTTAGCCCGTCGGTCCCAGAAGAGGATTTATTTTTGATGGTATTAAAATTATATTATGTGGACAACACTTCCAAAATAGATAAATAAAACAAGTTTAGATTGCAAAGTGTCCATAAGGATAATGTAAATATTATTTGGCACTATTCTTGCAACAGTCGCGACCTAACCCAAGTAGCAAAAAGAAATTCTAAAAGGATTGAATTATTTTATAACAGTCGAATAGTTGTCTTAAGGAGTACTTGATTTTATTAAGCGTTTGGTTTCGACCATTCTGTTTTTTAATAAAAGTTGTCATATTAAACTATTTTCTAGTGGTTTTTACAACGTATCTTATAACGCATTAAACGATAATTTCTTTTAGTATGATATAACACTTAATAAGACAATGCTATATGATAACAAACATATTATTTTATTAGACTCTTATACCCACCATGTAAGAGTTCTATAATATTCATATAACTAGTAGTCACAAGATCATATAATAGTTACTTAAACTTGTCTTATTAAAGTTGTATTACGTTGTATGATAGAATGTTTTCTTGCGTTAACTACGGTGCTGTATACAACACTAGTTATATAGCCTTATATGATAAAATTGTGATTAACAAAATAAATTCGCTGTAATATCTGCATTATAAAACTGGTAATGTATAATATAACCTCATTTTAAATTAAATGGTATACGTAGTTATTTATTTTGTTATTGTTGTTGTTGCAAAAGTAATATCTACGTACGAGTATAATCAATCACAGCTATTATGAATTCTGGACAAAGTTGGAAAAAAGTTAACATACGCAGTGGTAGTTATAAAGAGCATGTAAGAAAAAACTCATCGAAATTACGGCAAATAATCCCGAGAATTCCCTGGGTTCCCAAAAGCCAAAACCTCTCGGGTTGTCTGGCTTCTTCAAAGCATTGTTGCCACGTTGATGTAAAAGTTTTACTGTAGTAATGTTTGTATTGTTTTATTGTTGTTTTTCCAAGTCCTTAGGTTGCCGCTCACTCGTCGGGCATGCATGAAATGCATTGCGTGCATAAATCCATGAAAACCTGATCATGTTTGTTAGTTTAAATACTAATCAAATGAGATTTGCCAACATCCATTTGTCACAAATCTCAATATGTCAAAAATAGTTCTATAGTGCCTGGAAATTCTGCGTAATGATAGATATTTATCTTATACCGTTTTATTTTACCACAAAGACTTATTTAAGGGATTCATTTATAATAAAATGGTTGCATTATAATTCGCCATGTTTAAGGCAGAATTTTTGTATGGCCTATGGCCGCCATTATATGAAGCAAAATTAAAAACATCAAAATAAATTGTAAAATGTTTTTTTTGAGAACTATTTTGTGATAAGATTCCCACATACAGTAATAAACTGTTTAATTAAATTAAAAACAAGAATTTTTGAAAATTTTATTTTATTTTATTGTTTAAATTTATACGTAAACCTAAATCGAAATTAAAGCGCTTTAATTTTTTGCCAAATACATACCTAATCTACCAGTAAAATTTTCGGCGCAACAAAATTGTCCCTACTTTTCAAACCCAATGATTTTTTATATTACATATCTGTTGTACCTTCTGGCTCTACCCGCCATTTTCACCGTCGAGTAAAGTCTCCTTTTTAACAATCCACATCCTCCAGATTCATTTTACGACACGCTTAAAATATAATTTGCTCCTCCGATATTCTTCGGTAAAAAATAAAATACTCTTTTACCTCGCTAAATGATCAAATGTTTTTATTGTTCTGTTTCTTAGATGTGACCACGTAATACACAATAAAACTAGTTTTATAATAGTTATATAACGCTGTGTAAAATAGTAGCATAAGAGTTGTATACCCTTTTTATAGAACTTCTATACTACTAATCGGTTGTATAAAAATGGGCCTTTTTGGTTGTAAAGCTATCATATTACGGTCTTATAGCACGTTATACGAATTAACGTAACCTATAAAAATGATCACATAGCTGTTTATACAGCCTTTATAAAATAAAATTTGCTACTTGGGAAAGCTTTTGATAATTTCGGTGCGGTTCGGCTTTTTCCGGAATTATGTCGCCAAATATTGTTTATTCAAATTTATTATTATTTTCTTTGAATTTTATAAATAAAATACAGTGTGTTGCATACAAGAGACTTTATTTCATTTAAAAACATGTATGAAATACCTATGAAACATTGGAGGCCGACGTTATGCCACGATCCACGATGGTTTTTGCAGTTCACAGTTCACAGCACAGCTTTTTAAGTTTTTAATGCCACTTTTTCACAATTATCTCGGGTTTGAGTAAATAAAATTTAAATTAAACTCGCAAGATATAGTTATTTATCTGAAATTATAAATGTGGGAACTTTTTATTTTTTTAAATTAATCACAAATTTTTCTTAGAAAAAATAATGATAAAACAGTTTCTGTTGAACTTTTGACACAAAAACATTTCAAATTTATGATTTCAGCCTAATAACTATTTGGTCAACGTGTTTAATTTATGTCAGTGATGACAGGTATTGATAATTTAGATTCCATATATCTCGAGAACCATTACTCGTAGCGATTTTTACCAAGAGACCTTTTTTACGTAAAAAAAATCGTAAATGTATATTTTTTTACACAGTAGTTTTATACAGGTACGAACGAAAAGTTATTAGTCTTTAAACCAGTTAAAAGATATGTGGGTGCGCCCTCTATAAGTAGGAGACATATTGACATCCAAATCAAATGTCAAAAAACTCCCAGATACCAATTTTCATCCAATTACTGATGTTACTTCAGAAATTATTTGGAAAAACTTCTACACCCTGTATCTCCGGAACTAAGCATTTTAGGATATACATTTATACGAAATATTTAACTGCAGAATATGCCGTAGAAGTTACAGGAATACAGTTCGGACCACCCTGTATATTAATAACAGCCTAAAATAGTACAAATTGTAAGTAGAGACTGCGTCAATAAGAAATTCTAGCGATTTCATATAAGGAAGGATGTATCCAAAAGCTTTTAAACGTAAGTCCATTTTTGTCATCTGATACAATA